ACACACACTCACAAACACACAAACTAACCCATCTAGAATGTGACCTTCACATTTACCTGAGCTTGTGTTGTGTAATTACAGTATTTGGTACTGTGTTTACAATGTTGGGGAAATATTACAGCTCTCACTTTTGTTTCAGGTATTAGATAAAACACCAATCCCTAGAGGCCAAGAACACTCTGTGCAACTAGATAAGCTAATTAAACAAGCACAAACACAGACATGTGCTGTTAAATATATTCACACTTCCTGATCATGAGGGAGGAGATCTTTGAGAGCAACAATTCTCCAAAGGCATCCTGCTTCAAACTGAAAGAGCTGGTGAGACAGAGAAATGGGGGGGGGGGGTTGAAGAATAAGGGAGAATGTTTTCCAGGGGGAACGTGAATAGATGAAGAGACTCTGCAGACAGAGGAGGCCTTGTTGTGGGTCTCATTTAGAGGAGGGGGTTGAGGGCTGAATATGCCTGCTGAGAGATCGACAGGCTTCTTTCAGCAAGAGACACCCTCTCATACCCCCCCTCCCTCCCAGCCTCCCCCATCTCCATCTTTCTCACATTGCACTGCCCAGTAGTCATGGGTACATTGTGGGAGAGAAATGACAGTTAGAGGGAGACAAAAGCACATTCTTAAACAAAAAAGGTACATGTTCCTCATGTTTTTGCATTCATCATTAACTCTTAAATGACAGTTTTAGGTGACTTAAATATTGTATTGTGTACAGCTAATGAAGTTAATGAAATAGTGTGTGAATTTTTAAAGGGAGGAGAAAAGAAAACCAATGCCTCGCCTATTTGCACTTGTGTACTATAGAAGTCCAAATGAAAAGCAGCTCCTGTGTGACCAGAAAGAGACAGACAAGGATGAGTAGGGTGAGACTGAATAAAAGGAATAAAAGGGTAAAGTACTGAAGGGAAGAAGTGGTCTGAGAAAAACAAGGGCCTCAGTGTTTGTTATCTGTTTTCTCTCGTCTCCACGTCTCACTCCATTGTTTCTCCACATACACACCACAAACACACAGCCTTGCATGCAAGTTTGCTGCTAGCGTGTGTTTTGAGCAGACTGTAGACAACCTGAAGAGACTGTGTCAAACCTGTAGAAACATGCCACCCGGGCCGTGGCCAGCTGCTTGTGTTTAAGGCAGAAACTGTGACACCTGCTCTCAGTTGGGATAGGAGAGGGATAGAAGGACCTGGTGAGGGTCGGCCTCACTGCAGGAATGTAGGCCACGTGCTCCCCAGTGCTTGACGGGTCCAGACAGACCTCCAGCCATCTCATAAAGCTGCATCACACTCGCCCTGTGACCCCATTTTTTTACAGACACAAACATCCATTCTGTACTGCAGCGCTGGTGCAGGAGATGAGGATGAACAAAAGGAGGAAATGGGGTTCAGATAGTGTTAATGGACTCATGCCAAGCTTTTCTTTCCCCTCTGGGTAGCAGGCTGAGTGGATGTCGAATGTTTCACATAAAGGGCTCCGCCTATGTTTATTGAAGTTGAATTACAATACATAATGGATATATTCACTTTCTTTAGTCATTATAAAGTTATTAACTATGTATTACTATTTTTTTTCTTTCCTGCAGTTCTACCTGCAGGCGCGGTTGTCATGGCGAGGAGCTCGGCTGTTGCGCCCACTAATACAGTTCCTCTTAGTGATGATCGCAATCTACACCGGCCTGACACGCATTTCTGACTACCGTCACCACCCCACTGATGTCCTCACAGGCTATATCCAAGGAGGCCTCACTGCGTATTGGGTGGTACGTCAAAAATCACTGTTTTCTAAATAGTCTTGAGTTATCTCTGTCTTCACAGGATGTGTTTCTCTCTGCTCTCTGTTGACTGAGTTAGCTTAAACAATAGGCTCTCTCATTTTCCTCTCTGTGATCTCTCATGGTCTTTATAAACAGTGAATGATTGACAGCGTGTGTGGTCTGTGTATAGTTCCTGACATATTTTGTGTCTGTGCCTGCAGGCCTTCTACATCTCCTCCATGTTTAAGCCCTGCACCCGTCCAGACCTGTCTCCCACTAGCACGTCCATGGAGAGTCCACTGTCCAGCCAGCAAACTGTCTGTTAGCAGATGCATGCAATAACTCCAGGAATCAGAAGATAAGAGAAGATGGACTGCAGAAAGACAGGGAGAATGTCAGATAGCACAGGTGAGGGGCAGAGAGAAGGGAGAAACTTAAATCTTTAATTAAGGGAATCATTCTTAGAGAAGGATATGATTAAAGATGACAATATAACACATGCATGCTCTTTCAGGCATACTGATACACATGCAAACATACATTCACACAGTAATCTAACATGTTCACACACTCACACATGTGAAATACAAGAAGCACATTTGACTGTGAGTCAAACCCGTCCAGTGAAAAGAACTGCATAGAAATATTACAGATATTTTTTTATATATGAAAAAAATAAAATAAAAATGTTATATTTTTCAAGAGGATTTTTTTTTTAGAAGCTGCTAATGTTAATAGTTTCCAGTTTTAACTTGTTTTCTTCTGTTATGGAGGCATTTGGTCAGTGAATTTAGTAAAACTGGTCACTTTTTGGTTTTGGGTGAGAGAGGGAAAAAACGGCAGCCTCCTCTTTGTTTTTGATCCTCTGCTAGTCTTGGAAAACATCACCCAGCACCCCAGCAGCTGTGAACTGAGACCATCAGACCTCAGATATAAAAGACGGCTCTGTACCAAGTGACAGAACTGACAGTGATAATGAACAAGCACTGGCTTACACTTCTAACCATTTTACCTTCAGTGGCCTGATGTGCCACTGCTGTAATCAGACTGCCCTGCATCACTATGACTCAACAACAGCCTGTGCATAAGCAGAGAAAAAAAACAGTATTTGTGCCGTGAGACAATGTTATCTTTCTTTTTTGTGTAACTAAGGTAGTGATGGGGAGTAATCTGACCAAGTAACTTACCTACCCTATCACCTTTCTGTACTAACCACTTTGATTGTGTCTCAGAGGTGGAGGTTTGACTGAATTTTGTAACCTTTTACTTTTGCCCCTGGACTCTCTGAGCTGCACCTTGATTTATGCCACTCTGACAGGAGAGCCGACATGGCTGCGACCCCAGCGGCTCTCCTGTGCATCTTTATTAATAGCACTTGAACGTACTTAATGGAACCTTCTAATTATAATCAATATTATATATTTTATCACAACTTTGAATAATCAGTGTTTATTTGTTAATGTCAGACTCATACACTATGTTTTTTCTTGAAATGATAATTATTCAAATTGAATGTAAATAGCTATTTCATTTTATAAACCACACAGAATTTCAAAAGTATTAGTTCCAGTTTTGGACCGTTTTTACATGTTTATTAAGTGTTTGTATTTACGTTTGTGTTGATCAGGTACGGAGAGTTACTATTGTATCTGTTGTAACTACTAGACTGAGCCACAGATATTATCAGAAAGCTATATTTTTTGTGCTCCCAGTTATTGTTATTTGTTTGTTTTGTCTGTGAATGCCGGAAAGGCAGAAATAACCACTGTACTCAAAAAACCAAACCAATAAAATGAATGTTGAATGTTTTTAACCTCTTCTGTCCTCTATTATTTCTAGTGTCAGCAAACGGAAAAGGAATGCACCACACTCCCTCTCATGTCTACCCAACTCACGCATACTTAATCTCAGTGTCACAATATTTATGTCACCTCACTTGTCTCTGGCTAAGCATAGTTCATAAAATAAGCCATTTGTAAGTCAGTTTTTTTAGAAACAGGATATCAGTCTGTAAGGAGGTAAGAAAATCTGTGATGAAACAAAAGTAAACACTGAAATGATAAGTGATGTGTTTGGAACTCCAGTGCTCTCCTGGTTTCTTTTATTATGACTCTCTCTCTCTCTCTCCCTCTCCCCTTCCCACCCTTCCTCACTTTGCCCCTTCCCTGCTCTCAGTCCTTTTTGAGTGCAGTGGAGCATGATGAGCTGTTTCAGGGGGTCATGCTACCATGGAGATGCTTAGCCAGATACAGGTTGGGGCGTCTAAAGCCTTTTCTTTCATTTCTTTTTCTCTCTCTCCGATCCACTTTCAGGCAGAGGGAGGAGAATAAAAAGCAGCCAAGATCAGACAGAGAGGGCAAATGAGAGAGAGGGAAAGCTTCAGTAATGGGTTTGTACATAACGCTGAGGTAAGGGGGACAGACGAGCAGGAAGAGTGGTCCAGTAATGAAGGAAAGGAGTAATGGAGCAGTTGGCAGAACAGATGGGGCGGGAGATATGGGAGAGAGGGTGATGGGTGTGGGGTGTCGGGGTGGGAAGGAATGTGATTGTGGTTTTCAGGCCTGTTTTGTTTCATAATACTGTAACTAAGGAGACACATTTCATTCCTGAGCAACGTATATGCCTGTGCTTGTGTGACAGGTTCTTGTCTATCTGTGTCTGCCTCACTCCTTGTTATTGTCTTATGTTTAGGTGTGTGTGACTGAGCTGAGCGAGAGGCAGGCTGCTCCACTGAGCTGAACTTACACACCCTGTCAAACATGACATCTCGTTTACACTGTGACTGGCATCCTCCTCGCATACCCTTTGACTCTAATGAAAATGAACGGGGGTCGACAAGCAGAGTCACATTCTGTATGTTCAGATTACTGCGGGCCAGGCAGAAGGGCCTCACTATTTACACTGCCGTAACTGTGCACACAGTAGAAACAGTAGCCAGGCACTGTGGCCATTTAGAATAGAGCTCATTTGAACTCTTATCTCAACAGATGAAAGCCATTACTGTCCACATGCTTCACTGTGAAAGAAAACTAAACCCACTTTCTCCCTCTTCCTCATACTTAATTTTGGGGATTCCCTGATAAGATTATGATTTTTTGTAAAAAAGGACAGGTGCAAAAATAGCAAGGCGGATGCCATGCTGATCCAAATCAACGTACAGATTAGTGTGCTGGGGAAGTCACGTAGCTCACCTGCATATCTCTTCATGTTTGAGGAACGGACACTTGCATTATACATGATGTCTACGTCTGACACTGATAACAGGCTTGTGCAGCTCTGCCGAATTCCACTTCCGAAACTCTGCCTGAAGTGAAGAAATAGCCTTTTTGATGGAGATGTAAAACATACAAAATTCAACCTATCTTTGTTTACTACCAAGTAAATGCTGCTCAAAGCTGTAAATTGATTCCACTGTGAAGAGGAAAAGAAATTTGGTTGGAAATGAATTTTTTGTTAAGTAAGTGCTTTTTGCTGTGGGTCTCCAAGGCATTACAGACGTAGTCTCTGGAACTCTGGCCTTTTATCCAGCTGTAGTCCAATTCTTAATAGAATTAAAAAGGATTAATGGGCTCTTTAGTATTCTCAAGTCCAAGCTTGCCCCCCTAGCCTCACTGCTATGCATATTTCAAAATCTCCCATAGTAATGACAGTCAGTGAATGCACTAGCTGCAGCCATTAGGGCTGCAAGTGGGCACATTGGGTCCTGATATGAGTCTGTGAAAGACATTAGTTTGCATGTTCCTGTTTGGATAAATCTTGCGTCCCCTTTTTTCTCTCTCTGCTTTTCGGGGATTAGGATGTGCCAAGCCAGGTGGGTCATTGAATAAGCAAAGACATCAACCCTAAAACTAATCCACGAAAAATTGACTGAAACTACTGGTGGATGGCTGGCCCACGTTCATTGCCAAATGAGGGAACCTTGCTGTGTTTGTGTAGGCGTGATGTTTGTGCATCTCCTCACATACACAACAGTAAATGCATACCTTATTTATCAGTCCAGCACATATGTGCACGTAAGATAAGTACACATACTATCTGATGAGGACAGTGTCATTGTGCTATCTGAAGAAGATGGCACTGTTATGTACTGTACTCCACCACACAAACTGAGCTAGGGCTGCATGGTATGTTATGAAGCCTAAATGCTAATGAGTTATAGAGAGAGACAGAATGAGAGACTCACATTAGAGTGGATCTCTCCTTCCTGAGTTTTCTATTTTTTTTTCACTCTTAAGGGTTTTTTTGGGGGGAGTTTTTCCTTATTAGAGTTGAAGGTCTAAGGACAAAGGGTGTCATATGCTTTACAGACTGTAAAGCCCCATGAGGCAAATTGACAAACATGAGTTTGATGAAATACCTTCCTGGAGGAGTAGCTCTCAGAAATGTCCCTGTTTTTTACAGTAGCATCATTTTATGGGATGGCATTGTTTCCTAAGAACCTAATTTCCTGTGAGCTTTTTAAAAGAACAATCAAATGTTTTATGATTGCTCAGGGCGGAACATTTCCTTGAGAGACAAATGATTTCCATTATATCTTTTTTAGGTTTGTTGAAAAGCAACCATGCCTCCTTTTGAAAATCTTTTCTCATTAGCCTTGTATAGCCAGTCATGAGATACAGGAAATTTAGCAGAAAACATACATATAAGCCACTATTTATCTCTTAGAGGTCATATTGTTGTCTGTGCAAGGGTAAGGAGGTGTGTTACGAAAGTACAATACAATGGAAAAGGTTACCTGATAAGGCCTGGCGCCATAATGTGTGGTATGTTTATTTTAGTGTCAAGCTGAATGTTTTAAGGTTGGGTGACCTTAGCTACCTGCAGCTTTTCTTTGTTGAGGACGAGGTGTTGTCAGCCAGTTGACCAGCCATTCTTTTCTTTCTGTCACCTGTAAAAAAAACCAGGACACAATTTTTCCAGGCCTAAGGAAAAAACTGGTAGTTTGACAAAGTTGGACTTTGACATAACATTTTTCAATAAAACAAGCTTATCTACCAGGACCTAGACAAGACACGTTGTCAATAGAGATACCAAACCACTTTGTTTATATTGTGTGGTCTAAAGCATGAGAGATTTCTTTTGTGTGTGTGTGTGTGTGTGTTTGCGTTTGTGTTTGTTCTATAACTCGCTGCTGATGGCAGACTGGAATGCAAAAACAAGATCATGGGAATAAAAACAATAATCAGGACCCGTTAGGTGTCAGTGACGACTGCAGTGGAGAGGTGGGAGGATGAGCTCGAGTTCCAAGGTCAACAAATTATGCTTCACACTCACGTGTTGTGGTAATGTAATAGTGACATGACACTCATCTCATGTTAATACAAGCGGAGGAATTATGAAAACAGCCCATTCATCACTAAAGTAAACTACATTACTCAAGTGAACCTCATAAAGTTGCATGTATACAACTGACCTCTGTGCTCAAGTGCTCTAAAGCAATAATGTCACAAGTGATTTGTCTCTAGAAAACACATCTCTTGTGTGTATAAAACATTTTCATCTGTGTATTCAAATCTGTGTGTATGTTTAATCTGTGTTTTTGCCTCATGACTACCTGTATACACAAGTGTGGGTGTACTTATGGGGTCTTTAGGCCATAAATCCCACTTTTCCTCAAACATATCATTATAATCCCACATATACACCTCTATACTCGCCAACACACAAAACAGTACTTTCCTACATATATTCTATTTTTCTGTAATGAATGTGAGAACTCTGCTTCGTATGAGGAATACTGATGTTGTCTATAAAAAAGGGATTATTGTGTGTGTGAGTGGGACTGTAAGGAGAAAGAATGTCTGTTTGTGGGAGAATGGTGGGTGATGTGTGAATTAATATAATGGTGTGTGTGGACAGTATGGTAATGCATCTCATACAGAATGAGTTTATGTGTAATATTCTGCGTGGAATTAAATGAAATGTCTGAAAAATAATGAGAGAATACAAAGGTAGAATGAGAGCACAGCACTGTGTGAGTATGATATTCTGTGAAGGACAGAATGTGTGTGTCTGTGTGAAAGGGAATGCATGTCTTGCAAAACTGTGCGAGTGAGCGTTTAATTAAAAAGGAAGATAGCTAATGTTGGCAAACTTCAGATAGATATTGCGGAATAAGTGACATTATTAAACGAGATAGTGCAGGGAAAAATGGGAGAGTAAAGTGGTGTGTGTGCCAGACCACGATTCAGACGAGTGTGTCTGTGATAGTGAGGATGGTGCTATCAGTGCTCTTAATTACAGTCCTCTCCAGGAACCAGCTGGAATAACACGGAGAATTAAAAAACCTGAGGTGCTGAGGTCACACTTACAACACTTAAGTACATCAGAGAGCCAATGAAATGTGCTTGTTGGAGCGCAGGAAACTGTTAAATACAGTGCAGCCCTCTCTCTTTCTGCTGCTGTGTGTGCATATACAGCATTTATACATCCTTTCATCTATGCTTTTGTGCATGTGCGCAAGTGTAATGATAGCTTAGTGCCAATAGCTTAATGAGCATGCACACAACAGACACCTGACAATATTCCTGTAATTCTTAGTTATGAATGAGGTGAACTAGTGAGTCATTTGTGTGTGTAATCCACTAACATCACTTGCTAAGGAGAGCTGGTGTAATTGATGGATAGAGGGTAGTAAGTACAGTACAGTAAGTAGCAGATACAATCTTTAATAACATTTATGACTCATTATTTAATCGGTTGCCCATGCTCGTATTTATTCCTGGTGCTATTGGGAAACAGGTGAACTACAAGTTTTACAATGGATTGTTGACAGTCATTGGGTGTAATTGTTAAACAATGTCAGTCTGACAGTCATGGCTGCTGGCTACCATTGTTATTAGTGGTAACCTTGGGGGGTGAGTTATGGTCGCCTCTGTCCTGTAATTATGTTTCTCCTTCCCCTTGGTCGTGGTGACAGATGATGACGGCAGTGGAAAAGCTGGTGAAGGAAACCTCCTGGTGGAAGAAGAGGAATGATGGCAGTGAGGGAGTGAGAGAGAGACAATCCCAGACCTGGAACCATAGAGGTATCTACCTGTCTAGACACCGAACAGCTGTCTTCGGCTAGAACTCGCACATAGCAAAAAAAAAAAAGGGCCCACAAGTCACTAGTCTTGTCTCAAAAATGATTAAAATATTAACAGCTTACTTTGTTTACAGTGCAAATTAGATTTTTAAATGAAGTCATTGAATAGAATACCATTATCTTGGTACTAATCAATTAAGTACTCAGCTTTACATTAAAGATCCTCTTCAGATGTGTATTAAGACATATATACAAATAGTCTGCTTGCACCAGTAATATGTTTTTCCACATTAAAATCTTTAAAAAGGCATCTACTTCTTCTGCCTTATAAAAAAATAAGAAAAATTTAAATAATATATAAATATGAAATTCTATTAAGACTCTATGAATATGCACATTTAGTTTATTTCTAAACTTTTCTTGCTACACACAAGAAGTCGCCTACTCTACGTCACACTTGTATAAGTTGCATTCTGGACCAGGGTGGACTTCCTAAATATTTGTGATGTTGAAAATCATGCTTGTAGGCCCCGCCCCTTATAATGTGATTTTCCATGAGTACAGAGAAATGTTCCACTTTCACCAGATGAATGTAAAAACATCCTTCTAGTGTCAAACTCTGCATACATCATTCCGCACAGTAAAGCTCTACATACAGCTATATGAAGAAGAAGAAAAGAAACCTATTTTTAAGCACAAGGGGACTTTAAAGACACACACCATAGGCTTCTTTGCAGTAGATATTTTGACTTGTCATAGCAGTGAAATCAGATGGAACAGAAATAACCTGAGTGACAGCTCCACTCAGTTTGAGTATTCCAATAAGGTACCAGGGCCCAGAACTGGAACACATAAGCCATCATTCATTTTATTAATTCCGCCTGTGCTTTTCATGCTATTACATGTCAAAGTCTAATCTAATGACATTTTTTAGTGTGTAAAACTTTATATTTCTTGCAGTGTGTGCTGCTCTCCTGCTCTGCTCTCCATTCTCCCGGCTTCAATTTTTCAGGTGAGTGCCTGATTGCCTCACTGATCCACAGCACGGCCAAACACAAGGCTTTGTTTATTTAACAATAGGGCTCAGCCAAGTGTGCACAGCTCCAGAAGGGCTGCCTTAACAAAACATGACAGTGATAGACATACTGACTTAACTGACATTTTACAGGGCTGCAGCAACTCCCCATTTACAAATCCCTTTCCCTTAAAACCTCAGTCATGTCACTCATGGCTTTAGGTGAGACAGTCTTCTGCTGTGAATGACATGAATGAGCAGTATACACAGAGAGCAGCTTATAAACAAAATTAACCAAATGGGTAATTTGATGTGAATTTTTTGCATACTTTCTCATGAGTCCACTTAGTGTGCAGTGCATGCCAGTGCTTGCACATGTACTTGTTTGTGTGTCGGAACAAATAGTAGCGTGTGTGAGTTGAGTTGTATTGTATATGTGTGTGAGTGTGTGTGTGCATGCTGTGTGTATATTTATGTGTGAAGCTACAGAAATAACAGAGGGCACGGTATAAAAAATATCCTGATTGTTTCTGAGGGATTATCCCTCACAATGCTGGGCTTTATCAGAGGGCCTGGACTGCTGTAACAAGACACGCTCACCCTGGGTTCGCCCAGCCAAATACTGAGAGTTACGCCAGCAACGAATCACAGGGGGGAAAAGAAATGAATAGAGAAAAGAAAAGAAACACGGACGGAAAACGATGGCGAAGGAGAGCAAAGACATGGGAAGAAAAGTGGAGCGAGAGGGAAAGTGGGAGAGAAATTAAGGAGGGGAGTGAAACGTACAGAGAGAGGCAGAAGTTGAACAAGTTTAACTGGAGGCCATGCTTCAAACAGAGAGGTTTGTTTTCTGACAGAGATCCCTCTCAGGAGATCGAGCTGGAAAACAGATTAATAGAGGCTGTCCAAGTTACTCTCTGAAATTGCACAACGTGTGCCTCAGCACCACGTGAATGCTGTGCATTACACTGTACAGGGCTTAGACGTGGCTGTTTGTATGTTAAAGCATAATGTACGAATATGCTGCAGCTTCACACCAAGTCTTCATGTTTAATCTCCTCGGGCAGTGGTTGGTCCGTTATCAGACATCTTCCAGATCTTTCATGTTTGTGAAGGAGAGGTGGAGGAGGAGTAGAGGTGTTTTTGATTGGGTTGTTTTATTTGCTTCCTTTTATAAGACTTTCTCAGCAGGATCAGGTTGCTGTGCCCAGGCTAACCAAGCTCTGTAAAGGGGAGCTGTGGTTTTGAAAATGAGGGGGGAGATTTGGCCGCTCTGGAAGGGGCTTTAATATGGGAGTAGGGGGAGTAGATGGGGGTGTGCATGGTATTGTGTGAAGCCCTGTGACTTCATATATTCATATATTCCCATGACACCTCCACTCCCAGCACTCATGAAGAATATTCTTTCAGACTGGCTAATTTACTTTTATTAGCTGTTCATTTTTTTGGTATGTGTTGTAAGGGCCAATGCAATATAACCACACAGCATGATTGAATGTTTATGTTTTATTATTATATTTTGAGCTGGTTGAAGCCAATATGAATGTGATTATTGTGTACATATTTCTCTATTAGTGAGTAAGTATGTCAGTGTGTGTTGGTGTTCCTGGCAGCGTGTAGATGTCCCCTTGTGATATTCAACTGTGCCAGTGGGAGTTTCAGGCTTCACACTGCACTGACTGGACAGACCAAAGTGTCTGTAACAGTCCCAGCACTATTTGCTGTTCTCTTAACTCACCTCTCCTTTGGTCTTGCACTCAGGATGAAGGATTATGCTTATTACCATTTTACTTGAAAGCACCCCTAGTGACTTGATGCTTTTCCTAGCCACAGTTCATTCCCTTCTGAGGTTGGGGCTCAGGGAAAATAGCATGTAATGTCTAAAATACTCTCTCAGGGTGTGAACATGACACTGTTTTCTTATAAAAAGAGTCACTCCTGGCCTGTATATACTGTTTTGGTTACGGTCGACTTTCTACAAGGTGTATTTTGAAACCGTTGTGGAGCTACACAAACTCAAGCCAAGCAGGGTACTGAGTAGCCAGCACTATTGTTTCATAGCTACTCAGAATTCTCAGGGTGTTGCTCTGCTTCAGCTTTGACTCCACAACTCGCACGCCCCGAATGGTGCACCCAGTTTTTGTTTTAAACTTGGGTAATAATACTGAACTGTATACACTGCATGGGGGTTAATTTACCCATGTCCTTCTTTTGTTCATAAAACTTCCAAATACCAGAGCCAAAACTGTCTACCTTCCAAACTCTCAGAGTACTACCCTTGTCCACATGGACAGAGAATGAGGGATTGAGGGGGTGGCAGTGAGACGGGAAGAGAGCTGTTTATCTCTCATCGCTGCTCTTATGAACAGAGCAAGAATGGAAGAGTTGAGACAGATGGGGAGAGAACTCAAAAGCAGCAGAATTGTAATTATTTACCCTAAAAGTCTTGTTTTGACTGTTTGGAATTTACTCCTTTCAGATTAAAGCACTAGATGCACAGTGTTTGTGGGAGTGTGGGCCATGGGATATGCGTGTTCATAGCTTTGTGTGTGCTTTCAGACCGTCCTGCGTCATCGTTGCTCTCCTCTGTTTATGCAGGGGCTCTGTGGATATGGAGAGGGATGTTACGATTTCCAAGCCTCCCACTGTCACTTGATATGTATGGAGAACGGATCAGGTGATTGGACAAGTCCACTTCCACACAGCTTCCCACCAGGGCTTCTGAGCACAAGTCTATTTACTGTCTCATTCATGCCTGTTGTGTCATTTTTTATTCAGTTAGGGTCTCGCCAAGGAGAGATTAAGCAATCAAGAAGGATGCAATGTTAAACTGGTTGGTCACACCAAATGGCTAATGAGGTAATCTCCTTGGCCTTAATGTCGCTATATCTATTCCCACATCAATGTGATAATTGTGTTTAAGGTGGACACTTGAGAGTATGCTTTGCCTGTCTCCACTGGTGGCCTATTGCAATAAATCCATAAGAGAGATAGGGCAAAGGAGAGGCAGAGAGGGACAGATAGATGGAGGAAGCGAAGTAGACAGTGTTGAAGAGATAGAGAGGGGCCCATATTGAGTGACACAGACTATGGTTTGTGTTTTCTCGGTGGAGCAGAGAAGATGGAGTCTAAATGAAGCGTGCTGCAGCATGGCGGTTTCTGCTTTATTCTTGCACTGTGTGTGTGTGTGTGTGTGTGTGTGTGTGAGAGTGTGTAAAGGGGTAATGACAGAGGCTTCTTTGAGTACTCAGAGGCCACTGTTGTCCCTCTGTTGTTTCACGGTTAGAATCATTTGGAAGTAGTGCCATCCTCCATGCAAAACCCATCACCAAAGATAACAGTAGGATAAACAATACAGGTGAACATGGATAAATACAAATTATGCATCCACCTGAGTGGTAAAAACACGCTGCCACAATTGATCCACAATGGGCACCAGGATGTGTTGTTTATCTAATGGCTCATAATCTGTTTGTGAGAGCTTGTTGGAACCACAGCATTTGTAAGAGGGACAATTTGTTGTCTTCTTTTTCTTTTCATCTAATTTGGAAGGAAATTAAAACCCTGTGGTGATTTTGTGTCTCTGTCAGGGCAGTCTGTAGGACGAGGGCCTCCTCTTGTGTTCGGTGTGTAAAACTACAAAGACAGTGGGAGTGTTTGGCACATTGGATATGTACGTACGCACTGATATGATTATGATATGATTTATAACATAAAGGGTAAAATACTCTCAGAAATACTGAGATGAGGGACTAAAGAGGGTTATTTGACCACAATAAAAAACAACACGTAAAAGAAAGTGCACAACAGCACAGATTTCCTATACTCTTTTTTTAGTTTCCTTCCACTGATTTTAATAAAAATGAGGAAAAACTGTTCTTGAAACTATTATAAGTGACATCATTATGGCCCAGTTGAAGCAAAGCATTAGTGTTTAAACTTGGCACAAATTTAATTTATGACAACTTCCTTCATGACAACTTCCTTTTTCCTTGAAGCGTGTTTCAGAGAGTGTCTGCTACAGTACATTCTGGTGTCTCATTTGTTTCGACAAAATGTATCAAAGAAAGCGTCCTCAAGGAATGATTCCTGCCATCCTTATGGCATTCTGTGTTGGAAAATCACTAGGTAAGAGATGGACAATGTTTCTCCCCTGTTTTTCCAGTTTTTTAGGGTTATCTTTACTTCCGGTAATGGTGAGCTGCTGTCTGAGTCTACTAGTTTTCTTTCGGATAGGCTGTTTCTGTTTCTTTTATATGATGTTTGTAGAGGATCTAAAAGTTTGTTAGTGATAAAATCTGTTAATTCACAGAATGTAATCAGAAGAACACTTCCTGCGATGACATTAAGGCTGGTGGTGGATTCAAGTTCCCTCACGGAGGACCTGAGGGAAGTGAGATCTACGTCTATGATAACAGGGTATTTTAATTTGCTTTTAAACGCTGTAGTAGTGATAGTTAAATAGTGATAGTTTTGTTTAATAAAATCGTTTTGACAGAGGCTTCCTGGATGTTCACTGTGTGTGTGACGAGAGAAAAAGAAAGCGGAAGTGTTGACGTTAAAGGGGAACTTGGCAACTTTTTCAGCTTAATAAACCCGTTTAGAAATCATTTGGATGGTTAAATTAATCGGCGGCTGTGGCCTCAGAACGGCAAGCGGGTTCGTTGGTCGATCCGCCGTCTCCTGCCACGTGTCGAAGTATCCTTGAGCCAAGATACTGAACCCCAAATGTGCTCCCCCGATGCATAAGCATCGGGTGGTGTGAATTGTATGAATGAGTTATTCCTGTTCGATGGAATTTGCCATCACTGAGTGGATGTGGTATGAAAGGGTGAATGTGCAATTATGTAAAAGCGCTTTGAGTGAGTCGGAAGACTAGAAAGGCGCTATACCAAGTACAGGTCCATTTACCATTAAATGGCCTGTTCCGGTGAAAATATGGTAAACCCCCCACCCCCTCGAGGCGACCGCCAGGCGGAAAACCAACCTTGCAACCTTGGGACTATTTTTTTTTTTTTTTTTTGACGGACTTAAAACTTTAATTAAGTCAACATGGTGCAATACAAATCAATAATCAATAAACGCCGCCAGGGGGATACAAACAATACCAAGAAAGCAACGTTTCATACAAAAAGCATTGGGTAAAGTGTACATTTAAATTCACCAAAGTTTTATACAGCTTCATGTTGATGATTTTTTTATAGACTTAATATATTGTTGGCTTTCATTTTCAAAGATAAAGAAAGAGGTTTTTGATAGTGATAACGACATTTTATGAATATGCCATTTGGCCTAACAGTATAATAAGATTATTGAATATATATTGTTTTTTCTTTTGCTGAAGGATGGTATATGAAGCCAAACAATATATGTTCAAAGCATAGGAAAAATGAGATTCAACGAAAAAGAAATCAATGGTGCAAATATCTTCCCATATACTCTGGTTGAGAAAGCAAGACCTATAAATCTATATCTTTTTTTAAAAAATCGTTTGTAAAAAAACTTTAGATGGTAAATTCTATGAATTATTCTAAAAGATACTTCTTTTACTTATTATCAATTATATATCTAGCCAGGTAAGTCCAGGATCTTTTCCAGTTAAGATATTAATAAAGTTGTTCCAATATGTTATTACATATGGAGGTTGAAACGACTTTCTTTCTGAAATAAAGAAGCCGTATAGCAACTTTGGGACTACCGTCCCCGGTAAATTTGGAAATAGTAAGTATCGCGAGAGCCGAACCAGCGAGAACCACGAACGCTTTAGCGGCAATTCCACATAAACGCACCAACGCCCCCTCAATACCTTCCAGTGTATAATGTTATTACCCACCCTCGGTAGATATGCTCCAGTCACCGAAAAAGTTGCAAAAAGGCAACATCAGCAGCGGTAGAAAGGGGGAGGAGGGTCCAGCAAGTGAGTTTTTTTTACGATGTTATGTGAAATACACGTCCCAGAGCTGTAGGGGGAGCTCGCTGAGAAAACATGCGATGACAAAAGTGAAAACCAGCGAAGAAATGGCTCGAGTTGCCAAGTTGCCCTTTAAGGTTGTCTGGTGTGTGTTTGTTCTGAAGTAAACCTTTTATCCCAACAGACTGTGCTCATTGCTCATGCTTTGCTTGGCGATCAGACTTTTAAGTTTGTGAACACGGTGATGAGCATGGACAACTATTCTGTCATTACAAGAGACTGCCAAGACCTGCAAGTAAAACACATAGTTCATCATGTGAGTTTCCCTCTATTATATGAATTTAAATAAAAGTTCTGATTTATTGTAAGTGTGAAATATGTACCCTTACTTTGTTTTTGATTTTTAGGGAGAGCACTTTGTAAAAGAGATATGTTTGGATTATAAAATTACAGGTAAGGCAATGAGATGTTGTAAATAACTGATTTAAGATTGAATTTTATTGTACTGCTGATCATAAATACATAAATAATATATGTTATACACAATTATCCCAACTTTTTTATCAACAGAGAAACTGTACATTGATTCAACTGATTCACCAACACCAAGAATCATCATCAGTGAGTGGAATTTTATTATTCCAGTGCCTCAACATTTTTGTTTACCTTACTGTGAATTCATTTGCTGTGAAATACCTCAAAATTAATATTTGATGATAACACGTTTTTATTTTGTCGTCCAGGTATTATATTTGGTGTGATATCACTCATTGTGATTATTTTTCTGTGTTACGTTTTTTGGAAAAAGCTATTGAAGTGAGTTCTATTCTATTTGCAATAACTATTAACTGTTTTATTTACACATTAATTTACACGTCTTGAACGGATTCAGAAAAGTTTGTTTGTGATTTGTTTGTTGTGTCAGGAAGCAGCACGGTGTAATCACTGTTTCTGAGCTCACTTTCATACAATGCATTCTGAGTTTTCTCGGACTGGGGATTTCCAAGGCACAGAAGGAGGAAGGAGTTGGGTCAGTGTTACTTTTCACATATGTCCACCATTAACTTCCAGTTATTTAAATCACTTTCAATGCATATCCTTATCAGCATAGAGTTAACCACTGACTTTTAGGAAGACAAAGTTGGTCAATGGTAAAATTTAAATAAATACATTTTAATAGTTAACGTTCAATATGTGTTTCAAATATTTTCTTCAGCTGAGCTCCTCTTGAGAAAAAGGAAACTAGAAATAAGTCAAATGATGTAACTTCATTGACAATAAACATTCAGAAACTACATTCAGCTCAGTGATCACATATTTTCTTTGTCATTATAGTTTGAATGAAATGGGATCTGCACCTGATCCACCTGGAAGTGGTGTTGAGCAACATAACACACTTGAAAGTGTGCATGTTCACAGGTCAGACTTTGTCAAAACTGTCTGTGTTTTTTTTTTTTTAACAACTGGAAGTCTAGACTATAATCTACTAAAAGCTACCTTTGTCTCCATAGTATTGATCCTACGGCTAAAGGCAAGACTGCTCAATCCCTTAGTCTGGACCGCAGCTTGAGCAACGAGGGAATCCAACCGCCTAAAAAGTGAGAAGGAGAATAGTTTACTTTTGTTTGTGCCTGTAGCCAATTTTCCTTTGAAGATTTAGGTGAAGTATCCCTTTAATTGGGCAGGTATAGTGAGTGAGATTTCTCAGAAGAGATTCAGTGCCATTCTTATCTAGTATTTGTTTTGCAGTAGAGACATAACTGCCCCTGACGTTTACAGAGCCTCTAATCATCGAGCCATGCACAGGTAAGCTTTTTGGTATTGGAGTGTGTTTTTTGTACATTTTTTAATTGAAATACTTTATTTAACAACTACTGTATATGTCTTCAACAGGAAACTGAGGGATGATCCAGGAGGAGCGAATGACAACAAAGGAAAAGACAGGTAAGTAGTCTACAAAATTTTGATTAATTTTGTATGTGTTTTTATATTACATTTAGGTACTGCAAAAAAGTATACATGTATTTACATGTGAGGTGAGGATGTGTCCTATTGAAGCCTCCAAGAATAGTTTAGTATGAAATATTTATTATTCATTGTATCAAATGTAGTTATTTTACAGCAACCCTCTAGGTTTGGGCTGTTTGTGGTCCTGGTAAATCATTCAGATGACTATAGATAGATCTGCAATCAAATTTAACTTTAATTTTGTCAAAGGTACAAAAAATGCACAGAAGCATTGAAAAGATACATAACACAAAACAATATAACAGAAACTAGACAGAATGTACAACAACTGCATCACTGCATGCATAACCTGAGCACTCACCCTGGACTTTTCTATGCCTAGCTGTTAACTGATAATGGCTGTGAATTCTTCTGCAGGGACACAGCCAATGGGTGCACTGTTGGTGTTAGTGGTCCTGAAGAACAAGAGAATGAAGGACAAACGCTGCTCTTGGATCAGCGGTGAGACTGCCTCTTGCTCTCTGTCACTCTGCGCAGAGAAATCTCTGTAGCTTTCCAATTTCTAGTCTCCTTCATACCTTGTTTCATTTTGCCTGTTGCTGCTGTTTTGACAGCTGTCAGGAGTAACTTTATGACGTTCTCCACCCACACCTATCCTAAATCTGAAGGGTCAATCTGAACTTCAGAACTTGACATCTGCTTGGAAAGTGAGCATAAACCGAGCTTTGCGGTTGCTGTGCAGAGTTTCATGTCTATTCCTTGTTGTTTGTGTCTCCAGAGCTGCCATCCAAGGTGAAGCCACAGTTTTCTTTACTGCACCAGTAAGTAGAAAGCTTTCTATACATTATTTATTCCTTCTTTTCTGTAAAAGTACAGAATGTTGTTTTTGTTTGACTTAGCAATTGCTTTGTTTTCTACAGGACACTGACGTGGAGTCAACATGAAGAACTATACACATACATAAATCTTGAGTCATAATAATAATAATAATAATAATAATAACCTATATTATATACAATATACAGTTTTCTCACAGTTAGGATATGTGGTACCTTTACTGGCAGCTCCTTTGGATGAAGTCCAGCACTTTTGTTTAAATGATCGCTTTCATCCCATGATGCTTTTCAAAGTCTTATTTCTTTTACAAACCCTCTGTACATAATTTCACACATATGCACAACATATTTACATCATTCTGATGACCTGAAGTTTTTCTTCACAGAAAAATTTGACAATCCTGGTGGAAACCGGTCTTGTCTGTGCGTTGCTTTCAGCCTGGTCAATCACACAGATAATATGACATATTGATTTTAGTCATTACATATAGTGGAACATTAGTTATTACATTATGTAATAATTTAAAATAGCTGAGAATATTAAGTGCATGGCTTGACCAAAGGATGGGTGGATCCAGACAGAAAAAGTACCACATCCAAAGCTATGAGACAACTTATTGTATTAATACATTGAAGTGAATGTATTAATGCACTTAAAGTAAAGTAAAATACATTACTTTATTTGTAAACTAAATAAATATTATATAAAATGTTCTATATTATATTATATTATATTATATTATATTATATTATATTATATACCTCATTAGAGTGAATTATTTTAATCAGATTTCTTTTCTTTTATGATCTACAACAAGTACGTTTTTGTATCTGATTAATTATAAGTAAACCTGCCTTTGCTCCATTATTGCTGCATAATCTAGAAACATGTTTATTCTTATTATCACCTGAATCACAGTACCGTTTTTTGGTAACTTAAATGTTTTGTTTGGTATTACATGCCTATAACATATATATAATATACATATTTTAATTTTCTTTTGTTGCTTATATAGGTAATCAGTTGCAGTGCTTTTGCTTTTTAATTTATCAGTAGTGACAATAGGAATATAAAAAATGATGATGATGATGATTTTTTTGTCATGAATTTTGAATAAAATGCTGTACTCCATCCTGGATTTCACTGCCTGCTCATTTTTTTTTTTACCTTTGTTTCTAAACTGTCAACACTGCACTTGAAGTATCAACTTTATACCATAAGGGGGCAGTAAATAGTCATGAGTCATACAACACTGCGTTATAGGCAACACAATTACATCTCTTATTAGTTCCGATGAGTGATGCAAACGTAATTAATGCATATTTATTCAAGATTGCAAAAGCGTCAATTCTGAATTGTACTTACACCTAAAAAATATAAACCTTATTTTTACACACTGTATTTCTATGATCAACTACAGCGGGTGGGGTTTTATTTCTTTCAATAAATCAAAGCTCCCTTATAGTGCCGTTGATTGACTATTGTGTGGTTCTTCTATGCAATCAGTGTCAGTGTGTTCAGGTTGATCTCTATTTTCTAGTATAGTTCTCTAATTTATTAATCAATTAATAAAAGGACAGTAAATAGATCACACATCTTTAGTAATTTAAGAGCTGTATGCTACAGTACTTAAAAGATTTGTTTCCCTTGTGACTTGATGTATGGTAGTAATTATACACAAACACACAGGGGTTTGAGCTTGATTTAATACATCTCTTTTCTTTATCTCTTGGGATCTGGTGAGAGATACTGTGAGTCTTGTGTTAGTTAATGTCTGATTCTATTTTTGCCTCCCTAAATGTGCACTGACCTTGAACTTTTTTACCTCTAAGATGGACGGAGTACCAGGAAGAGAGTGTGTCAGGGGTTAGAGGCTTTGTTGCTCATGTTTGGTATGTCAGTGTGTGAAAGTGTTATTGTACCACCGGTGAAAAGAGGGTGATTGAATGGTCAAGGCCCCTCTCTGGGAGTTTCACTGAGGGGACATAAGCGAGGCAGGGGCTGGGCAGATGGGTTGATGGGTAGGGGGTGGATCATCACATGTCATCATACATGTACAGTGTACTGTATGACATACAAAAAAGAGGTACGTGGGAGAGGCTGCAATTATGGATGAACCGTCTATGCTCTGATGCACATAATAATTAGATATGTGCTAATTAGTTACAAATCACACTCCAACGAATTATGAGCAGTCAAGGAAACAAAACTCAGTGGGAGCTGAACACTGATCAGACCACATTGGGGATAGGGAGGCTTAAGGGAAGCTACATGGGCTGCAATAACCCAGACAGTTAGGTGCGTTATTCCTAACTGATCTCTAGTTGATCACAATGTTTATGCTTACTCTGGAGTGTACTAAAGGTCGCCTACTGTTGTGTACTGCTGTGGCTTAACAGACAGCTGCAAGCAAATAGTGTTGCATTCAAAATCAGTAAGCTGTATTCACACAGCAGTTATTAAAAGATTACATCAGGGATCACACCACACCGTATGATTAATTAACCTTGACTGATGCTTTGTAAAACTGAATCCAGCTGAGCAAGTATGCCCACAGGTCTGCATGTACATACAGATACAGTACATATGAGATGGTTGAAAGCTTCAGTGTAGCTGGCCTCGTTAATACTGGGTCACTGTAGTGAAACACAACCTTGCTTTTTTTCCAGATTGGAATGGGACTGGTCGTCAACCTCCCCCGGTGCTCAATGCTCTTGCTAGTCCCTGTCCAAACACTAAGAGTATTGGGGCGCTGGGTTTTGTCGCTTAAAGTGACAGCTTGCTATTTTATGCATGTCTTTGATCATTTTGTGTATTATGCTTTGGACAGAGACCAGCATTTGACAGAATCATCATCCCAACCAGCAGGTCAAATCTGCATATGCATACAGTGTGTGGTTCAAAGGGGAGCTGACTCAGGAAGGGCCTGTGTTGCTTGGCTTCAGTCGCCTGCTTCCCATGGTATACAGATGAGCAGCACAATGCTGTTGTAAATTGCAGGACAACCTATGAATAAAACATAAACCCTGTATTATTGCTTAAAGACATCTTTTCATTCCCAGTTTGACTCACGAGGTAGGTATATTGTGAAAGATATTGTATAGTAATAAATTCTGTGTGCTTATATCACATTGGCACATGCATAAGCACACAAGCAATTATGCTGTACATCAGCATTCAACCCCACACTTCACAAGTGAGTCCTTTTAAAATGTTCCCTCAGAAACCGTGAAGCACGAGCAATGTATATTTTCAATAGTTTTTTATTAATATGTGCTGATACAAGGTCGCTCTGACCTGCGATGACGCAAACACTCACAGAAAATCATCCCCTTTGGCCCAGACAGCTGTCAAAGCAATGACCGTGAGAAAAAAATGTCAAATAAAACATATGAACATCATTCCTCAAAGAAAACAGAATCAAGGTGTTATATTAACCTCAATTTACAAATGTCTCAGTGGTACATTTCATAGAAAAATCACAGAAAGCTCTGGAAATGGTGCAATATGTAGGACCCCACATGGCACAATGTCAGTACTCATCGTCTCTACCAGTGCCTACAGTCTTCTAGGTAAAACCACTAACACCCAATAATTTATTCCCATAAATGTAAGCATTTCAGGGATGTCCAATACTGACCAGGTTCAGCTGTACTGAGCTAATTAATACAGCCCTTAGCTGATATTTAGAATATCCCACTCACACCAGCTATAGCCAGCTATTCTACCTCTGATGATGTACACAGACCGTCTGGGGCAACATTTCCTGTCCTGTCCTGTGGATGATCACTACAGCCATGGACAGGCACATGCAGGCAAAATTCAGCTCCTCCCCACTCTCCAAGACAGTGCACCCAGCGGAAGAAAAAGGAAGAAAAAGGAAGAAAAAGAAAAAATCACGCCTACAGATTCAGCCTGCTCTTGCTGCATGTGGATGGATGTTAACAAGTAAACAGCAGTCTTTCTCCACTTGAGTGTATAAAACTATCTAACCTGGCTGAAGATGTGTATTATATATATGTCTGTGTGTCAAAAGATATGTTTGTTTTGGTTTTGGACCTTGGGGTCTCTATGTAGAATAGGCCTCACAGGTTTAGCATTTGGAGAACCTCATCCTACTCAAAAGCCCCTCTGTTGTTGGTCCCACCCTGTGCATCAAAGATGGCCGCTGGCCTGAATTGCTGGCACAGCTCCACGGACACATATTTACCATAAAAGAGCAACAGCACAATCCTCGCCACTGGGTTTATGCCATACCCCTATATATTTCTTAAAACTACTCTAAAAGTACTTTATAGCAGTCATGTGGACATGTAACAAGAGACCAATAACAAAATAGTACTACTTTATCATTGTTTACATTTGCTTTTTAAAAATCTCTATAGGAAAATCCTGTCGCATTTGTTAGCACTCTAAAAATCTTGATTTAATCGGCTGATGCGGCAGTGGATTCATTTTCACATTTTTTTAAGGAAGCATCCAATGACCAAACAACACCCACAACATCTTTCTTCCTCTGCAGGAAGATTTGTTTTATTCTATGGACAAACTTGAGATCTGACATGCCACCTTGATCAATTTAAACAATAAAGTAAACCTCTGGACTGCAAACCACCACCCTGTAACAAAGTAGCACATCCATCTCCTTATCTCCAGAGCCAGCTCTGCACAGCCTCACTGCAACCCCCCACACCAGCCTCTCTCACACTGCCTATGAATGTGTGACATCTGTGACATCTCTGGTGATGTTGTCCCTGCTCTGGGCCACTCTATGCAGACATAATGATGACCCTCTGCTCCTCTGCTGCTGTTGAACTCACACACTACTACCCCC